CGTTGGGCGGGGCGTCGATAGTCGGGCGTGGCTGGTCGAGGCGGGGCTGGTCGAGGCGGAGCGAGTCAGGGCGGGACTGTTCAGGGAGGGACTGATCAGGGAGGGACTGATCGGGGAGGGACTGATCGGGGCGGGGCTGGTCGGGTAGGGACTGATCGATTCGGGCTGGTCGGGGCGGGGCTAGGCTAGGTGGGGTGGGGCAGAGGCTAGGTGGGACGGGGCGATAGTTGAGGACGGCCACAACACACACCGCAGTCACCCCCGCCTCCCCACCACACACACACACACACACACACCACTTCAACCACTAGTACCATCTTACACAACCACCTCAACCACTGCCACCACCTCAACTACCACCACCACCACCACCAACCACAACAAGACAGGTGTTCCGTATGCAGCAGAACAGCAACAACAAGACAATGGTATGAATTAATAACAGCAATTACAGCAGAGAACATAATGTTATCGAAACCAATATAGCAGCGGTAACCTCAACAGCAGCGACGCTATAATAACATGACATCATCGTAGGTAATTACAGCAACAGCATTAGTAATAACAGTAATACAAACAACAACAACAGTAATCACAGGACTAAGATAACAGAAGAATAGTAATAACATAACCAAGATAACAGTATAACATCATCATCATCATCATCATCACAAAGAACAGTTACGGACACAATTACCTGGACATTTCTTTTGTCAACAACAGGTGTCCGTGAGTACGATAAGTTAAACCACTGAGTACGATGAATTAAATTCCTGAGTACGATGACTTAACCTTTCAAGTACGATGGATTAACCCCTGGAGTACGGTGTTAATCCCTTGAGTATGATGTTTACCCTTGGAGTACTACTGTATGAGAGAGAGAGAGAGAGAGAGAGAGAGAGAGAGAGAGAGAGAAAGAGAGAGAGAGAGAGAGAGAGAGAGAGAGAGAGAGAGAGAGAGGAGGGGGGGGGAAGCGAGGGAGAGGAGAGGTGTTTACAGCAGCATTTGGGAAAGTAATTAAACACCAACGTCAGCAGTATATAACAGTAATAACAGCAGCTGCAGAGAGTACAGCAACACACCAATGTCCTAAGTCACAGCAATATGGAACAGCAGAGAACAGCAGAAAATAATCAATTACTCATAAAAAAAAATACAAATTAAAACAGAAAAAAAACTGAGAATGTCGCCAGATAACACAGTCGTAAGTAACAGCACCACCACAGCAAGACATTTACAGCAGCACAGCAGAACGACAGGAACAGCAAAATATCCCTAACACCACGACAGGAACAGCAAAATATCCACAGCAACACAACGGAACGACAGGAACAGCAGGAAAGAAACTCGTGTGGTGGGAGGGAGACAGGAGGCAGCACGTAACACAACATGTGGACACTGGGCGGTAGGGTGGGTGGGTGGGTGGGTGGGTGGGTGGACAGGAAGGAGCGGATGGCAGAGAGGAATGGGTGGCAGAGTGGATTGAGTGGCAGTAGGGGGTGGCAGAGTGGATTGAGTGGCAGTAGGGAGTGGCAGAGTCGAGTAGGTGACAGTAGGGAGTGGCAGAGAGGTGGCAGTAGCAGTGGCGGCGATGAGGGAAGAAGAAGAAGAAGAAGAAGAAGAAGAAGAAGAAGAAGAAGAAGAAGAAGAAGGGGAGGAGGAGGGACACTTCCGGCCAAGGGGAATAATTAGAGCTGTCCGGGAGATAATACCCACTTCCTATGGCCCACCGTCACTCTCCTCCCACACCCCGAGTAGAGGAGGAGGAGAAGAGGAAGAAGAGCAGGAAGAAGAAGAAGACGAAGAAGAAGAAGAAGACATAATGTTAGAAGAGGAAGCATTCAAACACAGCCCCTATAGAGCCATATAATATACGTAAAATAACACACGAGTCACCCATCCGTATCCACCATTTTCTCCCAGGTGTCGTGAGAGTCCGTAGAAAACTGGTAGCGAGTGAGTCGACAACATACCTACAGCTGGTAACCGACATACAGACATACCTAGAGTTGGTAACCCCCCCTCCCACCTAAGTTCCGATCATAAGATATATAATCAATTCAAGTTTAAAGATAAATATAAATAACTATAGTAAACAGATCGAGAAATATAAATCGGTGCAGTAACAAAACAAACTGCCCACTGCTTCACATACCCATACCTTCTGCAGTCCCTCGCGCACATACCCATGCTTCCTACAGTCTCCCGCGCACATACCCACGCCTTCTGCAGTCCCCCGCGCACACACCCACGCCTTCAACAGTCCCCAGCGCACATACCTACGCCTTCTGCAGTGCAGTCCCCCGCACATACCTTCTGCAGTCCCCGCGCACATACCCATACCTTCTGCAGTCCCCCGCGCACATACCCATGCCTTCTGCAGTCCCCGCGCCAGTCCGCACATACCCATACCTTCTGCAGTCCCCGCGCACATACCCATACCTTCTGCAGTCCCCAGCGCATACCCATACCTTCTGCAGTCCCCCGCATATACCCATACCTTCTGCAGTCCCCGCGCACATACCCATACCTTCTGCAGTCCCCTCCCGCGCACCCATACCTTCTGCAGTCCCCGCGCACATACCCATGCTTCCTACAGTCCCCGCGCACATACCCACGCCTTCTGCAGTCCCCAGCACATACCCATACCTTCTGCAGTCCCCGCGCACATACCCATACCTTCTGCAGTCCCCAGCGCACATGCCCATACCTTCTGCAGTCCCCGCGCACATACCCATGCTTCCTACAGTCTCCCGCGCACATACCCATACCTTCTGCAGTCCCCGCGCACACACACCCACGCCTTCTGCAGTCTCCAGCGCACATACCCCATACCTTCTGCAGTCCCTCGCGCACATACCCATGCTTCCTACAGTCTCCCGCGCACATACCTACGCCTTCTGCAGTCTCCAGCGCACATACCTACGCCTTCTGCAGTCCCCGCGCACACACCACGCCTTCAACAGTCCCCAGCGCACATACCTACGCCTTCTGCAGTCTCCAGCGCACATACCTACGCCTTCTGCAGTCCCCGCACACACACCACGCCTTCAACAGTCCCCGCGCACATACCCACACCTTCTGCAGTCCGCGCACCACACCTTCTGCAGTCCCCAGGGGCACATACCCATACCTTCTGCAGTCCCCCGCGCACATACCCATACCTTCTGCAGTCCCCTGCGCACATACCCATACCTTCTGCAGTCCCCCGCGTACATACCCATACCTTCTGCAGTCCCCCGCGCACATACCCATACCTTCTGCAGTCCCCGGCGCACATACCCACGCCTCCTGCAGTCCCCGAGCGCCGCCTTCATCGCTGTGTGTGTGTATGGTGAGAGTATCCCAGGTTAGCAGGAAATACCGGGGAAGTCTCAGTAGGAAAGGGAAGGGGCGAGGGGTGAGAGGTGGGCGTGGGCGGTGTGTGGGTGGTCCTCTGTCTCCTGTCTACAGCCGCCCCACCTTCACATATACAAGACTACCTCACCCTGTCCTGCCCTACCTCACCCTGCCGGACCTCATCTTAGTAACTTTAACCAGGCCTCACCTTGAACAGCCCCCGAAAATACTTTGATTATCGTAGCTGTTACCTGGGTGATCCATCTGTGACTATTTAACATCTTGAGTACGTTATCTTAAGTCCTAGAGTACAATGGCATCGTACTCAAAGGAAGAGGACATCGTATTGAAAGGGTTACGGCACCGTATTCAGTAATTAAGTCTTTGTACTCGAGGACTTCAGGCACCGTACTCAAGAGGTTACAACGCTATATTCACCGTACTCAAGGGGGTAAAAAATGTCGTACTCGTTGGGCTAAAGTACTCGAGGGATTAAAAAGTCTCCCTTATACATTCAGCATAACGAAGCTTAGTAATGAGGGGAGGAAAAGTGAGGGGGTGGGGAGACAGGGATGGCACTCAAAAGGGAGGGGAGAGAGACACGGGTGCAGGGGCCAGATAGTGCCACCGGGTACCCTGCCGGCATTCGTCGCGGTAGTGCCAGCCCCGACACGCGCCTTTGATAAAAAAACCTGTGGTGAGCGAGGGGGAACTGTGAGGCAGGTAGGGCACACATTCCTTGGGGAAGGGGTGAGTGAGGGGGAGAGGAGGGGTTCGTTGACAGACGTATGGAAGGAGAGATATGGGTGGGGTTGTTGGGGAAGATGAGGGAGGGGTCGAGGGAGTACGTGCAGTAGGGAAGGTGAGGGAGGGGGGGCAAGAGGAGACATTTAGTGGGGAAGGTGAGGCAGGGGAGTGAGATGGGGAGGGAGGGGGTGAGAAGGGCGGCAGTGTTGTGAGACCTGACATGTGTGGCTGGCCCTTGTCACGTCAAAGGAATGTCGTATATATAAGGGTGGCACTGGTAGTAGAGTGCCACTGGTAGTAATGAGTGTCACGGGGAGCAAGGTGTGGCACTAGTAAACTGAATCTCATTGGTAGGAAGGAGTGGCACTAATGGGGAAGGAAAGAAAAAAAGAAAGAAAGGAAGGAAGGAAGGAAGGAAGGAAGGAAGGAAGGAAGGAAGGATAATCACTCTCACATGTCAGCTCGCACACCTGGTTATAAATACAACATCAAAGTTTCCTTACATTAATGCCGCCCGGCTGCCCCTTGTGGTTGAGGTGAACAAGAACATGGTTGAGGTGAACAAGAACACGGCTGAGAACAAGAACACGGCTGAGAACAAGAACATGGCTGAGAAGAACAAGGCTGAGAAAAAAAATTGGCTGAGGTGAACAAGAACATGACTGAGAACACGAACACGGCTGAGGAGAATAAGAACATTGCTGAGAACAAGAAAATGGCTGAGAAGAACATGGCTGAGGTCGACAAGAACATGGCTGAGGTGAACAAGAACATGGCTGAGGTGAACAAGAACACGGCTGAGGAGAACAAGAACATGGCTGAAGAGAAAAAGAACATGGCCGAGAACAAGAACATGGCTAAGGTGAACAAGAACATGGCTGAGGTGAACAAGAACATGGCTGAGGTGAACTTACCTGGGTAGCGGTGTGAGGTAGAGGACGTCATCACTTCCCACAGCGGACACCTGTAAGACATAAGACATGATCAGTCACACCTGTAAGACATAAGACATGATCAGTCACACCTGTAAGACATAAGACATGATCAGTCACACCTGTAAGACATAAGACATGATCAGTCACACCTGTAAGACATAAGACATGATCAGTTACACCTGTAAGACATAAGACATGATCAGTTACACCTGTAAGACATAAACATGATCAGTTACACCTGTAAGACATAAGACATGATCAGTCACACCTGTAAGACATAAGACATGATCAGTCACACCTGTAAGACATAAGACATGATCAGTCACACCTGTAAGACATAAGACATGACTGTCACACCTGTAAGACATAAGACATGATCAGTCACACCTGTAAGACATAAGACATGATCAGTCACACCTGTAAGACATAAGACATGATCAGTCACACCTGTAAGACATAAGACATGATCAGTCACACTTGTAAGACATAAGACATGATCAGTCACACCTGTAAGACATAAGACATGATCAGTTACACCTGTAAGACATAAGACATGATCAGTTACACCTGTAAGACATAAGACATGATCAGTTACACCTGTAAGACATAAGACATGATCAGTTACACCTGCAAGACATAAGACATTATCAGTTACACCTGCAAGACATAAGACATGATCAGTCACACCTGTAAGACATAAAACATGATCAGTCACACCTGTAAGACATAAGACATGATCAGTTACACCTGTAAGACATAAGACATGATCAGTTACACCTGCAAGACATAAGACATGATCAGTCACACCTGTAAGACATAAGACATGATCAGTTACACCTGTAAGACATAAGACATGATCAGTCACACCTGTAAAAGACATGATCAGTCACACCTGTAAGACATAAGACATGACCAGACACACCTGTAAGACATAAGACATGATTAGTCACACCTGTAAGACATAAGACATGATCAGTACACCTGTAAGACATAAGACATGATCAGTCACACCTGTAAGACATAAGACATGATCAGTCACACCTGTAAGACGTAAAAACATGATCAGTCACACCTGTAAGACATAAGACATGATCAGTCACACCTGTAAGACATAAGACATGATCAGTCACACCTGTAAGACATAAGACATGATCAGCACACCTGTAAGACGTAAGACATGATCAGTCACACCAGTAAGACATAAGACATGATCAGTCACACCTGTAAGACATAAGACATGATCAGTCACACTGTAAGACATAAAGACATGATCAGTCACACCTGTAAGACTTAAGACATGATCAGTCACACCTGTAAGACATAAGACATGATCAGTTACACCTGTAAGACATAAGACATGATCAGTCACACCTGTAAGACATAAGACATGATCAGTCACACCTGTAAGACATAAGACATGATCAGTCACACCTGTAAGACATAAGACATGATCAGTCACACCTGTAAGACATAAGACATGATCATCACACTAAGACAAGACATCAGTCACAGCTGTAAGACATAAGACATGATCAGTCACACCTGAAGACATAAGACATGATCAGTTACACCTGTAAGACATAAGACATGATCAGTCACACTAAGACATAAGACATGATCAGTCACACCTGTAAGACATAAGACATGATCAGTCACACCTGTAAGACATAAGACATGATCAGTCACACCTGTAAGACTTAAGACATGATCAGTCACACCTGTAAGACATAAGACATGATCAGTCACACCTGTAAGACTTAAGACATGATCAGTCACACCTGTAAGACATAAGACATGATCAGTCACACCTGTAAGACATAAGACATGATCAGTCACACCAAGACGTAAACATGATCAGTCACACCTGTAAGACATAAGACATGATCAGTCACACCTGTAAGACATAAGACATGATCAGTCACACCTGTAAGACTTAAGACATGATCAGTCACACCTGTAAGACATAAGACATGATCAGTTACACCTGTAAGACTTAAGACATGATCAGTCACACCTGTAAGACTTAAGACATGATCAGTCACACCTGTAAGACATAAGACATGATCAGTTACACCTTAAGACTTAAGACATGATCAGTCACACCTGTAAGACATAAGACATGATCAGTCACACCTGTAAGACATAAGACATGGTCAGTCACACCTGTAAGACATAAGACACAGTCACACCTGTAAGACATAAGACATGATCAGTCACACCTGTAAGACATAAGACATGATCAGTCACACCTGTAAGACATAAGACATGATCAGTCACACCTGCAAGACATAAGACATGATCAGTCACACCTAAGACATAAGACATGATCAGTTACACCTGTAAGACATAAGACATGATCAGTCACACTTGTAAGACATAAGACATGATCAGTCACACCTGTAAGACATAAGACATGATCAGTCACACCCGTAAGACATAAGACATGATCAGTTACACCTGTAAGACATAAGACATGATCAGTCACACCCGTAAGACATAAGACATGATCAGTCACACCTGTAAGACACGAGACACACCTGTAGGACACGAGACACACCTGTGGGACATACAACTGACACTAACACATCGTCTTAACACAGGAGATACACCCACTCACACGCCCTACACATATACTGTATCAAGGTAGTACACATATGAGTATATTTCTTGTATATATAAAGGCTTCACATATAATATTGAGTGTGTGGAGGGGTGTGTAGGTGTGTGAGGGTGGAGGGGGTGTGTGAGGGTGGAGGGGTGTGGGAGGGTGTGTAGGGGTGTAGGTGTGTGAGGGTGGAGGGTGTGTGAGGGTGTAGGCGGTGGAGGGTGTAGGGGTGTGAGGTGTAGGGGTGTGAGGGTGTAGGGGGTGTGAGGGGTGTAGGGGGGTGGAGGGTGTAGGTGTGAGGGTGGAGGGGTGTGAGGGGTAGGGGTGAGGGTGAGGGGTGTGAGGGTGTGGGGATGTAGGTGTGTAGGGGGTGGGAGGGTGTAGGGGTGGAGGTGGTGGGATGGTGTGTAGGGGTGGGAGGGGTGTAGATGTGAGGGTGGAAGGTAGGGGTATGAGGGTGGAAGGTGTAGATGTGTGACGGTGGAGGGGTGTAGGTGTGTGAGGGTGGAGGTGTGAGGGTGGGAGGGAGTGTGGGGGTGTGAGGGTGGAGGGGGTGTAGGGTGTGGAGGTGGAAGGTGTGGGGGTGTGGGGTGGAAGGTGTAGGGGTGTGAGGGTGGAGGGGTGTAGGTGTGTGAGGGTGAAGGGGTGTAGGTGTGAGGGTGGAGGTGTGAGGGTGGAGGGGGTGTGAGGGTGAGGGATGTATGGGTGTGAGGTGAAGGGGTGTATGGGGTGAGGGTGGAAGGGGTGTAGGGGTGAGGGTGGAAAGGGTGTAGGGGTGGAAGGGTGTAGTGAGGGTGGGAAAGGTGTAGTGTTAGGGGTGGAAGGGTGTAGGGGTGTGGGAGGGGTGAAGGGGGGTGAGGGTGGAAGGTGTAGGTGTGAGGGTGGACGGGTGTGGGGGTGTGAGGGTGAAAGGTGTAGGGTGAAGGTGTAGGTGGAAGGGGTGTAGGGGTGGAAGGGTGTAGTGTGAGGTGTAGGTGTGAGGGTGGAGAGGTGTAGGTGTGTGAGGGTGGAGGGGGTTTAGTTATGCGTGCATGTGAGAGTGGAGGGGGGGGGTAGAGGTAGCCCCCGCTGTGATTCGCTGCTGGCTCCAACACGCCCCAACTATTTCCTGCACTGTACTTGCTGGTGATAATAACAATAACAACCATAACAACAGCAATAGTGGCCGTATTACTAACAGCAGCAGCAGTTATAGTGTTATCATGGCAACTGCGCTAACTTTTCATTTCACGACATTTACATAACAACAACGTCGTTACACAAATATTCCACCAATCTCGGTAACTCCTATAACATTCCTACCTGTACAGCGCCTCAGTTATATACTTCATTAATTCTCGTGTCGCTTCTTTCACTCCATCTACTGTGTGTGTGTGTGTGGTTCCAGCACAGAGGAAGAGATCTCACTAATGACTCACCGCCGCCACACTATATACTGTGAGTGTACGGTAGAGCTTCACTGGTCTACCTCCTCTTCCATTTCCTGACTCACGTACCTCCTCCCCCACCCCCTCCCCTCTCTCAATGACCTAGCTCTCTCTCTACTCTCTCATTGGCCAATCTCCCCTTCCTCTTCCCTTCCCTTTAGTCGTCTACTTCCACCTCCCCTCCCTCACTGGCCTACCTCCTCTCCCTTTCTTACTGGCCTACTTCCCTTCCCCTCTCACTGGCCTACCTCCTCCTCCTCACTGGCCTACCCCCCTTCCCCCACCCTACACCACGAACAGGTCAGTCAGCGTGTAAACAAGAGTCACAATGGCTGATAAACACGCGTTCACACCGTCAGCGAGTTTCCTCAACTGGCTGACACTCGCCCGGGTGGACACGACGTAGGTAGTAGGCAGCTACCAAACAGGGAGGTACTACCGCCTGGGAAGATATTGGAAGCATAATGTGTTGTCTAATGGTAGACCCTGCTGCCATATGGCATCACGAAAATTGTGACCAAGTCCCAGGTTGCTGAGATGACTCTCTGCCTCATTTACACACAAATTGCAGGGTCTCAATTGTTTCTCTTACATTGACAACACAACATACAGATATTGTTTCTCACTATTGATCTTTTTAAGTTTTTATTTCTTTATGGTTCTTTATTATTATTATTATTATTATTATTTTTTTTTTTTTTTTTTTTTTTTTTTTTTTTTTTTATTATAAATTTTATTTACTATGAACTAATTATTATTATTATTATTGTTATTATAATTATTACATTTTCGCCCCCAGGCCCCGAAGTGGGTCAGTGACCTGTGCCTGGATGGACTAACCCCCGTTAAAAAAAAAAAAAAAAAAAGGCTGTTACACCTCATTACTATGGGCTGTCAGACACCTCCAGTGATCAGCTGATGGATGGGTGAGGTGATTAGGTTAGTGGGTAGTAGTGGTGATAGTGGTGGTGTTGTTGTTTGTGGTGGTGGAAGGTGGTGGTGAGGAGGGAGTTAGCGACGACAACCACAACCAGCAACTGATGACAAATACTCAACAAAGGCTAGAGGTCACACACACACTTCTGCATGATGATGAAGGAAAATGTTG